GGGCTTCTCGAGCGCAGCCTCTGCAGCTGCAGGTGGTCCCTGAAAACTCCCCGTGCTTCTGCTCCCTGGGGCCGACTTGCGTAACCGCTGTGGTCGCACGAGGCCCTAGCGAGAAGGTGCTCTGGGGGGCTTGCTTGGGCCATGCCTAAAAGCTGTGGCGGTGGGCCTTCTTTCAGCTAGCCACGCAACTGCTTCAACTCCGCTACTTCACCTAGCGTCCTTATGTCTTTAGCTGATTTCAGTTTGGTACCTTTCTTCCAGACACCCCTAAAGAAGACTAATGCTCTCATTGCGCAGATGGGAATAACCTTCCTAAATGCAGTAAGTGTTTGCATTAGCTCTTTGAACTTCTGAGGTATGTGCATTTGTGTGGTTTGTATCTTAAGTAATTTAAAATCTGGTAACGGTTTTGTGAAGTCTGTACGTATGTGTGTGGTGTTTTTAAATTCAATCTCTAACTACTTTTAGGTCACAAAATGAATATAGCTCAAGGTCGCATTCAGAATCTGAGAGGGAAAGTTTCGCTTCCTAAAAGTGCTTGTGCTAACTTCCTTAAGCACTAAAGTAAAACTGAGCAATCTGAATATTTTTATTACAAACTGAGAAGCCTTAGAAGAGGCTACGTAAAACTTTCAGCTTCATGCATGCTGAAAACCCACTTCACTCTTCTCATATTCTAATGTATTGCCATGGCTAAAATAATTGAGTGAATCAACTGGCAAACAGTATTTTAATGGATACTTGCTGCTGTGTAAGAACTACATCTAATCTGTAATGGGGGGATGGGGTTGAAGGGCATGTGATGCAGAAACCTAAAACCAGTTTCATGTGCAGCTTTCCACCAGTGAAAGTACTTGGGATGTAATTCTTTGTGTTGCTCAACTCTTTAATCAACCTACTAGCTGATATTTCAAAACTATAAATTATGAGGAAAAATTGTTTTACGATGTCAATCTTGTATCTCTTTATCCTGTCTTTCCAGTATGTTCCCAGTGCACTTTGCTGTCCCAGCCGAGCTAGCATTTTAACAGGAAAATATCCACATAATCATCACGTTGTCAATAACACTCTGGAAGGAAACTGTAGCAGCAAGTTATGGCAGAAGATTCAAGAACCATACACCTTCCCAGCGCTGCTCAAAACTATGTGTGGTTATCAAACGTTCTTTGCTGGAAAGTATTTGAATGAGGTATTTTGTGCCTTTTTTTTTTACTGTGACACAGTTCATTTGCATTTATCCACCTTTCTAAAACATTCAGTGATTTCTGTATTTGTAGCTGATGGTGGGTCCCCAAAATGTTAAAAATGGTGTTACTTGGATGAACAGTTCTCTTGGCTGAGATGGGATAGATACGATGCAAAGTTCAAATCTTTAACTTGGTTAAAATCAGGTTCTGTAGGTGCCTGAATGTTTTTAAAAGTTAATTTTGAGAGGATGATGGAATCCAAGGGCTTCTTTAGTATGTTCAGATGTGTTAATTGTTAGAGATGATGACAGGGGAAGAGGACAGATGATTGGCATGTGGTATTGAAGAACACCATCAAGCCAATGCCAGACCAGGCACGGTTAGAATAACGTTACAGAAAAAAAATTGGTTTGTCTCAATATTCCTTACTGGTATATCCCCTTATCAGAGGACTATTTTCTTTTTAGCAGTTAATATGGTATTTTAAATAGTAAATGTCCACTGAGGCAAATTCACTGGGAGAACAGATATTATCGGAGCTCTTTACGGAGGTTACCCAACACTTCATTATTCAAGCACTCGTATGTGTGTGCTTTTGTTTTTTCTGTTTTTAACTAAGCTGTGGTTTGTTGTAGTTTATGGTAAGCTGTAAAATTCAGTGCTGAAAGTTCTAAAATCAGGTGTTCCTCGTGCGATGGAATTGTATTTGGAGCTAGATGAGTTACAGGGTTCTTAACGGCGTTATTTTCCTTGCATCTCTTGGTGGAAAATGGTGGTGGTATAATAGAATAATGGAGCATGAATTTTCATAGCAGGCAGAAATTTGTTTCTGCTGATGTTACCGAGGCACCTAGGGGAAGGGAAACTAATCTGGCTTTCTCTGAGCATCCCTTGACTCAGCATAGTCTCCTGTCCCTGCAGTTAGGCGAGCCACGTAGATGGGAGAGGGCAGCCCTGAGAAAACCCATTGTGTTGTTCTGAGGCACCCTCTGTTTTGAGTTTGGCACGGATTCAGCAGCTACTTTCCTTTTTTTTGCTGGCTTAAAGGCTAGTTGCTGTAGATTATTTGGCACTGAGGTGGCAAGAGGCTAGCATTGCTTAAAGTTCGCGCCCCCTTTTGGAGGAGGATGATGGAAGCTGTTGGTCTGTGCGAAATTTTCTTTAGTATCTTGTGAACTGTTGTCACAAAGCCCTAGAATGTTGTCGCATGCGTGTTTTGATCACCTCTCATTACCTGATGGGGTACCGTATGTTCTCCAGGATCTCTGCGTATTTTCGTGTGCAAAGTAGAACAGGGAATAAAATGTAAATTTTATTGGTGAATGCCACACTTTCAGTTACTGTCTTTCTAATTATTTAACCCTGGTCTCTTTAACAGGCTGTACATATGTTTTTGTATGCATATATGGTTTTTTTCATTCTGAAATGGAATTTGGCTTAATGAGGTTTCTGACTAGCGTTGAATAAAGCACATGAATACGAAATGTAATTTCTAGCTTTTATTCATCATAATCGAAACTGTGAGTCATGGTCTGTCTTTTTTTCAGTACGGAGCAGAGGATGCAGGGGGAGTAGGTCATGTTCCTCCTGGATGGAGTTTTTGGTATGCTTTGGTATGTGACTTTTTTTATAAACACTTAATTTTGGTTGCTTTGTAATCCAACTCGTGTTCTAACTTTGCTGGTCACGAAAGAGCAGGCAAAGAGCATCTAACAACTTAGTGCAAATTTTCTTCCCTTTTTTTCCCTCTGTTGCATGTCAGATCCTTGGCTTTCACAAAGGCTACTCCTACTAAGGTGCCCGGGGAAGAACCCCGACTTGTAAAGCCATAAAACAAGTTTTGTTGTTGGAGACCAGTTCTGAGAATTCTTGCGGTGTCCTTGTGACAAGTGCTTATAACCTATTTGACAATGCTTGTTGGCAGCTCGTTTTGATTGTTTCAGGTAATCAATGTACGTGTCACTTTGTATAAATATGCACCCGACTCTTCTTTTTCACAGGAGAAAAATTCAAAGTACTACAACTATACTCTTTCAGTAAATGGCAAAGCACGAAGGCATGGTGAGAATTACAGTGTAGATTATCTGACAGATGTACTGGTAAGAAATTTTGCAACACTTGTGTTACAGAAGCTGCTTATGACCAGATAACGCCTCATGCTGGGGCTTGGGGAGGAGTGGGGATGACAATTCATTAGGCTGCATTAGTTCATAAATACATGATTGTGCTGTCGTGATGGTGGGTGGGCATTAATCAGCAGAGCAAGATTCTGGGTATATTTAGAAATGACAAGCTTGTGTGTACGAGCTGTGGAGAGCAAAGGGATTCCAGCTGCCCATTTGCTAGCCAGTACCCTCGCTGAGCGGTTAGTACTGACTGCTACGGTGCATGAGGAACATGATGCATGTAGGCAATGTCTTAAATTACTTCATAGAAGGATGTGTTTCGTTACAATACACAACTTCTGTAACAGATTAACTGGGCCAAGATTTCGGTGGGAAGATAAGCATGTAAAAATAACTTTACAGCATGTTTTGATAGATGGTATGATCTGTCAGTATCTTGTAATTTCTAACTAGTCAAACCGATAACTTGGAAATATCAAAGGCTAATCGGTCCGTCATAGTGTGCGAGGGCAATGTATGGACTATGCCAAAATGTGTAGCTGACCAGGGGAGTCTTTAGCCTCTTTATCCTCTTAAGGTAAAAAGAGGTAACAAAGATATCAAATACTTAAAGGAAAGTGAGGTATTGTAGCTCTCTTGAGGCCCTGTTTAGCACGTAGTATTAGCTTGGAGGATTTTGGGGGGGGAAGTGTTCCCCCTGCCCGCCAAGCTGGAGCCTTAATTTGGCATGCTGTTACAGTCTATGAGCTAGGAGCTCACATGCAGCACTCAGGAAAGTTCTCCGAGAAGTCCCCTGGTGCAGACAACTTGTAGTCTTCCATTGAGACCCTAATGACTTTCATTCCAGTGGGTTCTTGAGCACAGACAGCTGCTTACTAGGAGCAGAACTGATTGATGTTTCTTAGGGTACTGAACAGCTGTCTGATTAAATTTAGATTTACACTGTCTAAAGCTAGATTGGAACTCATAAGCCAGAAGTGAGCCTATCCTATTACTGGCATTGTACTGGTCTTTTTTGGTCCTTCAGCAGCTCATAAGCGTTTTGACCAACAGGTCATTGCTGCATAAACCTCTTGTGGTGTGTTACCTATTGATATAGCAGTGTATTACGATTTTCAGTGTGTTGCATTCTACCTTCTGCCTGTAGTTACCAAATGTGTATTCAGCATTCCAGACCTAGTGTTTGAGTTTAATTCACTCGATGGGCAGTGCACAGGAGTAAATTGCCTATGCAAAATTCCTGTGTTGCTTGATGTGATGCACAAGCTTTCTTGTCCTGACTAAGGACATCTGGGTACTTAAGTCTGGTATTAAGAATCTGAACACCTGGATCTGTCTACTGCAGTCCTGACGTGTTGCAGCTTAAGCTCCTAACAAAATCTAAGCTGACTGCCTCTATGAGTTTACCTACATCATACTGGTTTCTGAACCAGGTTTTTGAACTTCACACAGTTCTTATCCTCCCTTAATTCTGTTGTCATGTAACTGAAGTCCAGCCCCACTTGCTTAGATGTAGAAGTTAGGAGGAAGGAAGAGGAGGGAATTCCTACTATGTTGTTTCTTCTAGAGAAAGAAAAGAATATCCAAAATGGGGTATACTAATCAGACAGGAAAGGAAAATGTTGCAAGATTTGAATAGTGGAGAAGTCATCTGTGAGTAATACCTCTGAAGCTTTAATTTCAAAGGCTGACCAAGGGAAGGCCAAAATGGAACTTGCAATCTCTTCTAACTTGCTACTTGAAATTGTGCATAGGCTGGAATGAAAATGAAAGTGCAGTGAAGTGGCCTGAGTGAGTGGAGTCTGGCACTCTCCTTCACCAGAGCTTCCGGCTTCACGAGCAGAAATGTGGCACTCCTTAGAAACTAGGAACTTGCTACAGAATGAGCGTACGCTGTAAACAGTCGGGCTGAAAAACTTTTTCAGAACTATTGCTATTTCTGAAGACAATTGAAACTGCTAAACTGGGATTTATCAGTCAGGAGATGGCATCTGAGAGCCTCTGACAGACTCAGGCTGTGTTAAAGAAAGCTCACGTTTTACTTATGAAAGCAGAGTTTAGGTGGATTATGTTGATACTTGGAATAAGCACAAACTTTTGATGAGCTTTCGAGGTCTAAATAATGCAAAGGCCTGAAGTAGAAAGCCGTTCAGAGATGTGGGACAAATGATGTGTTTAACATGAACACTTAGGACTTTTTTTTATCATGAGCTGCTGTTCTGGACACTTGAGACGAGCAAGCAATAAGTTTCTGAAATAGTTTAAATGTTCTCAGTACTACTGAGCTCTAAATAAGTTATGAATGTCTAGTTTGGAATTGTTCAAATACCTGCTGTTTTCCTTTGGAGGTATGACTTTTCTTCTCCAACAAAACTGTTCACAGGCCAACATGTCATTGGACTTCTTGGAGTATAAATCTAATTTTGAACCTTTCTTTATGATGATCTCAACCCCAGCACCGCACTCCCCTTGGACAGCTGCTCCACAGTATACGAAGAGCTTTCAGAATGTCAGTGCACCAAGAAACAGCAATTTTAATATTCATGGAAAGGTAAGCTAACTGGCAAGAATCTGCATAGATTATTCTACTAGCTTATGAGAGCAGTAGGCAATGACCCTGACTTGCATATTAAGTTTTAAACAGTGAGAAGAAAAGGCTAATATCATGACTACTGGTTATTTAGTTATGTTAATCAGCCTTTCAGGGTAAGATGTTTATTGTGACTTTGAGGTTTTTGCATATCAATATCTTGTAAATAAAAAAATGTAGTGGCAAAAATGACAAGTGGCAGTACAATGGAGTTATGATTGGTAAATGGAAAAAAGTTAATTCTTTTGCCCAATTTCCAGACTGTTCTGAAGTTCTTAAAATGTTCTTTCATCGCTCTCGGTATGTTCAGGAGAACATGTAGGTAGTGTGCTACACAAAGGCTCAGGTGTGAATGATGAGAGCCCCCTCTTCCTACGCACATCTGCTCATGTGGGTGGGTGGTCCATTACTTGAGCTTGTGGCAAAGCTGCCCCTAGCTGACGAGTGTATCAGGCGAACCAGACGACTTCATAACATCATGAACCAGGGCCCAGGGTCACTAAGGACTTTGACAACTTGCCTATCGTTTGTTGAAATAACCTGTAACCAGCATTGCTCAGCCTAATGTTACAAACTCGCAGACGTCCTTGTGACAGGGCAGTACCTTCCACTGCCAGTAAACTTGGCCAAATATGGTCTAGCTTAGACTAATCCGCTGCTACTTACTCTGCCAATAAGTGAAAGTGAAAGTCACAAACAGTTAATCTGGTGAGATATTTAATTTACGGAGGTTTTGTGGGTTTGATTCAATTAGTTTAAAATAGAACTCACTACTGTTCAGTGTTCAACTGATTCACTTCAAGATTTGCTCCTGATCTTAAGAGATACCATCGCCTAAATGCCCCTCTGGAGCCCAGTGACACCTCTTCTAAGGTCACTGTGACTCATGTAGTACAGGATGAAACTTGTTTTTTAGCTGAGGATTGTAGCTTGCAAAATGACCATGTGCTTATCAGCATGATATAAAAACACAAAAGGGGAGAAAAGGGCTGCAAGCAGTAACAAATACTTTAGCCCAACCTCTTAAGCTGCAGACTAGGGGAGTAGGAATCAGACTTTTTTCTCCTCCGTAAAAGGATCCCTAACTTTGTCTTGGACTCCACTACTGTGATAACTGAATCCTTTTTAAAATAGCAAGCCAGAAATAACTTGACCAGCAAAGTCAGCAGCTAGCCAAAAAATACAGTCTTGATTCCTAAATTAATGTTGCCCAGCTTCCTTATATAGTATGTGGGCAAGGGGTACTAAAAGGAGCCGTTTAGGCAGAATCTCTGCATGAAAAACAGGAGTTAAGTTGTTGTCAGACTCTGGCTGGTGATGCACACTTTAATTTCTGTTTAGGATCCTCAGCTATGCACTATATCAAGTGATAGGTAGCTGTCCAGTATCCCAAGCAGGACTATTGATAGCCGACATGAGTGGTTTATCTGAGCCATTCTGAGAGAAGCTGGTTAAGATGTGTTGGGTATCTCTCTTGCATGCAGTGTTTTTCCTGCAAAATCAGAGCACAGCTGTGTTCCGATTCCGCTGGCGAGGTATGGTATGCTGTCTCAAGGTCTCCTAAACTTGTTTTGAGAACGGGACTTAGGGTGGCAGCAGGACTGGTGGACAGTTTTGTATGTAACCGGTGAAAGACTCTTGACAGGGACTGACAGGGAAGCAGATTTGAGGACTCTGAGTCAGCGTGAAGTTTACTGAAATCCACAAAGATGTTTAGGTGAAACCAATCCACAAAGATGTGTGAAGTTCCTGAAACTTTAGAGAAAGAAGAACAAAATACTCCAGAGAAAAGGAAGATTCTGCTGCACTAGGTGACTTATCCGCCCGAGTTACCCAGCGTGGTCGTGCCTTATGGAGGGCCTCTCCTGAGCCCATCTCCTGTGAAAGGTGGCTGGTGCACAGGTGACACTGCCAGCTCCTTCTTTCTCTGAAGAGCTTCTGCTGAGCTGGGGATGGGGTCTGTTATGTTTTCCATTGCTTTTTCCTCTCTCAACCAACACATAAGTCCTAGATGTTTGGTCTTGATTATGCTGCGAGTTTTCTTGCTGAGATAGACTTAGTCTCTCCAGAGAATTGTTTCACAACTTCCATAAGAGAGATCTGGATACAACTGAATTAAAATAAACTGGACATGGTATTAAGTCTCCATGCCGAAAAATCTTCCCTTCAGTCTACAGGAACAGAAAACAGGAGAACTGAATAATTGCAGGAGATATGAGTCATCTCGTTGTGAGTCCCTTAAGCCTGAGCCTGTTCAGAGTCATTTGCTTGTGACAGGAGGGAAATTGCATAAACGAGAGGTTCTGCGGAGAGGAGGGACCAACTAAATATAGGCTCAAGCTGAGGGTGATGAGAGGGTCGTCTCTGACCTACTAAATGGAAAGGTGTAAAGCTGCATTGACATGACTTTCTCCTTTATTCTGCTCCCCACTAGTACTAACCTTCAGGTTGTTCACAACAAACCTCCCCATGTATTTGTACGGCAGCTGACCCAGTTCAGACTGCTGCTTCAGGATGGGGGAGTATCGTTTCTCATACGAGTTAGATCATCTCTGTTACTTTGGGGGGGGATGGGTGAGGGGAGGAAGGGAGGGGCTGTTTCTGAAAGTTGGGGATGCGGCTAGAAGATTATTAACGCTTCAGCAAAGGAAATGCTCTTGTTCTGGAGTCAAAAAATCCAGATAAAATGGTAATGTTTCTGCTCCCCTCAGTAGTCTCCAGCCCTGAGTTCATAGGCTACCAAGAATCTGACAGTGGCACCATTGCAGATCTTTGTCCTCACCTGTCCATAAATTCGGTAGTCCTAATTGCTTTTGATGCAGGAGTTTCTCCCCACCTCTCTACCTATGTTAGAATGCTCACAAATCTGAGTCCCAAAAGAACCTCACTTTGACAACCGAGTCCAATCTTACAATGCTGCTCAACCTGTCAGATTTTTTTTTTTTCCCATCAGACCTGTCTCGGGCTATCAGACTTTTATCTCTGGGAGGGCCTTCGCTAGCTCCTTTTACAAATTTCTTCCCCGAGCTGCTTTGAAAAGATCCACAGCTGTTTTCTTCTCACCAAGGGCTGTGCATAATGGAGCTGTAACATATTCTACTCTTGCAATGTAGATTTTACATGAACCAAGAGGGAAAACTGGAGTCAGGTCAGTTCAATAGCATTGCCTGGCTATGTCACAGGAATCATGTGGATGTTTTACCCTAAACAACATTTCTGTTGTAATTGGCCTAAGAAAGGTATAAAAGCTGGTACTTCTCCCTACGCTAATATTTGTCTTTTTTCTTTAGAACAAGCACTGGTTAATTCGACAAGCAAAGACTCCAATGACTAACTCTTCAATACAGTTTCTTGATGATGCTTATAGAAAGCGGTAAGAATTTTTATTGCTTAAGATTTTGACTCAGAACTTCTATTGTTTTTAAAAAAAGAAAAGGTATTTTTTAAAAGGGTTGCAGTAAGTCTGACAATAGATGTCAAATTACCTGTAATAGTTCTCTGGCATCTGTCTCAGCAAACCTGACTTCTGGTTTACTTCGTGCAAAGAAACTTGTCATTGACTTCAGAAATATTTTGGCCCCAAATGCTGCCATCACTTATCATAAAGACCAGTCATGCTTGGTGTCTCTACTGCTTCTCTTCCAGTGCACGACAGGTTTTCATAAAAAAAATGACCTTACCTTCTATTTCACTTGAATTCCAGATTCTTACATGATGTACAGCAAATGTGATCGATTTATCTGCCAGCTAATCTGATTTGTTAACCTTGGCTCTCAGTCTGTGGTATTTTCACGTGGGAATACCTGACTGGCCAAGGCGGGTGCTTGATTCCTTTTTATAAAAAGGGATGTGGGGAGTAATGTGAAGATACAGCTTGTTCCCTCTTTTTAATGGAAAGGAAAGGTATTTGTTTACACTGTGGGTGTGTTTTCTTTAAAAGCTCTGAAACAAACATTAGCTTAACTTTAAGTGTTAAACTCCATTTTGAGCGGTTATCAGGCATTTGCTTGTCACTTTGGAGATGGAGAAGCAAGTTTCTTTCAGGCTGTTGCTTTATAAAACACGAAGGTAAAATTAGGCAACAAAATCTTAAATGAAGCCTGGAGACAACAGGATCCAAGAATTGAATAACTAGTTAACTCAGCATAATACTAGTCTGTGGAGGCTTGTTATTGACTTATCAGAAGCAGTCACTTGTCTCAATGGCAGACCCCATGACAAAGGAAAGACTAACTTGTAGAGCTGTTCAAGGCTTTAGACACACTGGAATAATGGACCCTGCTATTGCATGGGTAATACAAAAGAGCTGATGTAGTTTTCAAGCAGAAAGGATCCCGTATAGACAATAAAATTCATGGCATTCTTGTATTTTAATATTAAAAACTAGATATGAAAAACTAATAACAAGTGACCTTGCAGGAGATAACTCTGACTCTTTGCCGCTGTGTTGCTTCAAAGTTGGTCTTGACTGTCTCCAGATAAGAAGTAATCGGCATTTTGGCGTCTTTCTCAGACACTACACAATAAAATCAACAAGAACTGAAGACAAACAGTGTATTTCTATCTTAAATTGCAGCCTCAAATAGTACAGTGTAGTGATCTATGAAGTTTGTTTTCAGAATTTGCAGGCACAATATTTACTTACCGTGCATACACTGACTTGAAGCAGAATACGAATGCCCCACTTGCAGTCAGAATTACTCTAAATTTTTCATACTCCAATATGAATTACTTTGTTTCTGTATAGGTGGCAAACTCTGCTGTCAGTAGATGACCTGATAGAGAAACTAGTGAAGAAACTGGAATTGAATGGAGAATTAGACAACACGTACATCTTTTACACATCAGACAATGGCTTCCACACTGGTAAAAATTTTCACTGCTTACTGAGCATTTGTAGCAGATCCAGGAAATCGCGTAATGTTTCACCCTCGTGACCACTCCAGAAAATGGGAACAGCAGCTGTGGAAAACTGTAGACATGAGAAGTACTGATTTGAGTTGCAAAACAATCTGGAGTTGCAGTGTGGAGCGTTTGGGGATTTTATTGTTTGGTTGGTCTTTGGTTGCAGTTTTTGGCATTCATCTCTTCCGCTGTATCCTGGTATACATAAAAATTAGGACAGAAATGGAGGAAGGGTCTCTGTTCTGTAGAAAAAGTTGCTGTGAAAGAGTTAACCAGTAAAAATCTGTCAAAGACCTGTCTGTATCATGTACAACTAAAAATGCAGTGTCTAAGCTGTTAAACTTTAAGATACGGCTTATGCTTTGAAGTTGTTTGTTCCTGTCGTCCACTTTGTTAATGTAGTTCAGGTTAAGAACCTCTTCTGACTTTCTTAAAAGATTGGTTGCTGGACATTATGTAACACAAGACTCTTAAAACATAAAACAGGAAGCCGTTTAACTTTTTCCATTTTCTGTTGTATAGGCCAGTTTTCTTTGCCAATAGACAAACGGCAGCTGTATGAGTTTGATATCAAAGTTCCATTGCTAGTTCGAGGACCAGGGATAAAACCAAACCAGACAAACAAGGTGAGAAAGAAGTTAAATCAGACTACAGATTTACTTCTAATATTGTTTCACAGTTACCAACTTTAGGTAATAATTCATTCTCCTGCATATACGTGTATCAATGAAATGAAATATATGGAGTGGTAGGAAGTGCAGAGACCTCATTCTAAAAAGCTGCGTGCTCTTGCTTGAATCAGTACATTTAAGTAATTGCAGGCTACAGAAATAAACGAGGCGTGAAGCTGACTTTCCGAAGACCCTACCATTGCTTGTGAATGTTACAGGGTCCATTAGCCTATAAAGATGAAATTAAGTAGTGTTTAGGTGTACCTAAAATTACAAGTACTTAAAATACAGGAGTCTCATTACAACTGTTAGGTTCTGGTCTTCTGAAGTACGTTTTCATCACCGTGCAGATGCTTGTTGCAAATATTGATTTGGGTCCCACTATTCTGGATATCGCGGGGTATGACTTGAATAAGACCCAGATGGATGGGATGTCACTATTGCCGCTGTTGGTAAGTAGACGGACAGAGATAGTAACCAGTAATTCTCGCAGGGGTTATTCTTCAAAGTGAATCCTACTTCCTTTGATAGACTAGGTCGACTCGTAACCCAGATTTTTCCCTTGATGGCATTTTCACATGGGATGTTTGTGGCTTAGTGAAAAAAGTAGGCATGCTGTTTAAATGCAGATGTATTTTGATAAACCCTACAACTGTGTGGGGTCATTTTGTGATAGAAAGTTGTGTCACCCTTTGGCTAATCCTGCCATTCGTAATAATTTGTTTTTAGAAGGCTGTATGTTGTTTCTGCCTTGCATTCTCCCTCCCCTTTTCCTTAGGATTTCTCAGCATAGACGTAGGAGAAAAGCAGACTGCTCTTACCTAAGTCTTTGGTTTGCCTCAGTTTTCAGTAGAACTAGTGTTTCCCTCTAAACTCTGGAAAAATGTATGTGGTTTTATAAAGTAAACCTGACCTTTCCAATAAGTGAGCAGAAGCCTATTTAAATAAAGCTGCTTGCAGCTGATCCTTTTAGTTTTAATTAAATTTGGTCTATAAATTGAAGGCGGCTTACTTGGAAACACAGGAGATCATCCAGACTAGAACAGCGCTTTGCTGTTAAAACCTTGTGTCCAAACCTTAAGCTGTTCTTTAGACACAAGCAGGTAAAAGGCATCTAGTTTAAACTCTGACGGCATCAAAACTGCGAAACTCATTGTTTTGCTGTATATGCCTGTGATGGTGCTGTATATTAACTTTAAACTTCCCTCTCCCTCTGTCTTTTAAAATGCAGCTACAAATAGAGCAGCTTCAAACTTAGTTGCTTCTTAAAGCTGTTTCTTTCCTTACGCCACGGGTATCTTTTTCCATCTATTGCGGTAGTCTGATATAAACCAAAGAGAAGCAGCCTTGTTACAGGGATCTTGTCTGACACATAGTAGTATCTGGCCATGTGGCTCCTGTTTTGTATTACTTCATGATTCTTTATAAATTCAAGATAGTACTTTAGTACGCCTTCTTGTGAGGGTTTTGTACTGTTTGGGTCAGATCCTTGTCTTCCAGCTACACAAGACCTTCTAACCGAAGGTCTACTCTAGCTGAATATTATTTTAAGACTGACTCAAACTCGGGACCATGACTCAGAGTGCCTTGTAAGCAGTGAGCAGTGTTAGTGTTATACCAGGCATGGAGAATTTCTTCTGTTTCACAGTGCAGTGAATACCAAGTCATGTTAACTTCTCGTCCTAGAGAGGAGACAAAAATGTGACGTGGAGATCAGACTTCTTGGTGGAGTACCAAGGAGAAGGATTCAACGGCAGTGATCCTACCTGTCCTGGCCTAGGACCTGGTGTCACAGTAAGCAGGACAAGATCTGTTAATATTAGAAAATAGCTGCTGAATTAAACCTGTTTGCTGTGTGGACTAACCTGGTTCGATAAGTAAGCGCACAGTGTCTTGGTAAGTAGGAGCTAGCTCTGTAGGTCCTGTGCAGCATTTAGGAATTGGAGGGAGACATCCAGCCATGCAGAACTGATGTGTCCCTATGACCGTACAGAACACAGTCACCCTTTCAGTGGGAATCTGTAGGGCCTCAGGGTTGGAGAAATATGCAGGAAGGTGTGGGCTTGGCAAAGCGGGTAGTAGTGACATCGTGTTCTTTCTGAACTTCCAGTGACCTCATTGCGCAATTCTTATATGTAACTATTATTTAATTATTATCACTAGCTGAATCAAAGGTGGTTTGCTTTAAGTAAAGCATCCCATTGGTGTTGTCTTTAGTAGTGTGTGTTGTGCTGTTCTTTTCAGTGTATGTACATTAGCTTCCCCGACAAAATGCACTGGATCATGGTGAGTTCATTAACACCACTTTCTCAGATTTAGAAGAGCTGAGTTTTTGCTTAAAATCCCCAGTGGAGACTTGGGTGTGTAGGACTAAGATTCTGGTTTTTATTTCAGTTAACTGCAGTTGGCTTGAGCTGGTATAGACTTGAAAAGGATTGCTAGTTCAGTTTTTTCCAGCTCTGAAGTTTCTGTTCACTGCTCACTTCACAGCACTGCTTCCCAGACTGTGTCTGTGAAGATTCCTACAACAACACGTATGCTTGTGTAAGGACACTGTCAACTTCCTGGGATCTGCAGTACTGCGAATTTGATGACCGGGAGGTAAGTATCTCTCTGAGTAGCGGGTGTTAACTGTTCACAACTGTGCTAGCGACTGTCTGCACTCTTACCTGCTCTTAAGGTTTCCATAAAGTACCCTGAAAAGCAGACTAGCATTGCTTGCAGGATAAACAGTGAAGTATTTATCTACTGGTGAGAACGTTTGACCAAAGCTCTGGTGGGGTTCTGGAAAGAAAAAAAGGGGGTGGGAGGGGAGTGGGGAAGGGACCCATAGCCTAAACTATGATTATTGCCTTCTGGTATCGCCTAACAGCCCCATGGGGAGCTGTGCTGGGGCTGGGTTCAGTTCTCTGTCCTACCCTAATTCCATGTGGCAGAGTCTTCTGTACAACAAATATCTTCTGTACCTCTGCTGTTCTTACGTTCAGCTGCAACTCTTTTCCTTGGGAGGAACTGAAATCCCAGGCTGATCATTTGTCTTCTATCACTCGTTTGCCTGGCAAAACAAGTATTTAGTTACAACTGTGAGTAGTCTCTAACCTTATCTTAAGTTAGTTGTTCGGGTATAAGGGACATAACGTCCCTGCTTCAGAAACTGTTCAAATCTCTCTCGGGGAGCACCCGCTGTATGCACAAAACTTGGTGTGTTACAGGGCTGATCTTTACTTGTGCCCATTTGCACACAGCTGCTCCAGAGAGCATATTGGGTGTGAGGCAGCTGGGTCACAAATCTAATAAACTGGATTGTCAGCAGATGTGCAATAAATGCATAAACAGCGGGTATCCCCAGTTATCATGCCACCACAGAACACTTTCTGGTAGCCTACAATGAACAACTTAAAGCAGGGGAAGTAGATCCCACAAGGTGGTTTTTGTAGTAGGATAGCAAGACAGACTGTAAAGGAGACCAAGATGCTGATTAGCAGACCCTGCCCTTCATTTTTCCATTTTCTGACAATTTATGATGAAGTTAAATGAGCGTTGCAGCTTTCTTCGTGAAAGTAGACTCTAAAGTTGATCTGATACTACACTTCATGTCACATTTTTTTCCAGTAAGAAGGTATGGCTGTGGCATTTCTGGGTCACTTAGCTTACCTGGGTCAGCTAAATTAAAACTAATGGTATTGGGGAAGATGCAGCAATGCGGCTCTTGAAACCTTGCAGTGAACCTTACAAGCAAGCTTGCAAACAAAGTCTGTCCGGATGCATCTTTATCTAAGTTAGACACAACCCAGCCAGTTTTATTCAACATCATCTGTGCTCACGCCTCCTACTCTATCCAGCACAGACAAAACCTCAGCTGAATTCTTGAGATGTTTGACTAGTGTTTGTCCCACAGGCTGGTTTAGAGATTTCGTGTACCAAAAAACAAATCTGCCCTAAAATCCTCCAGACAAACCTTCTCAAAGGACACAAACCTTCTCAAAGCGTGCGCACACAGAAAAAGCTTTCTTGTATTAGGGTTACAGCATACTTGTATTCAGCATATCTCGTACGTGTAGTTAAGACGCCTGTCTGAGTTTGAGAGCTGGAAGTACCTAATGAGCATATAACGGTGCTGTGATGGTCATGAAACTGTGTATGCTGAGATCCATTAATGAAACGACAGCCAGCTTAGCTGTGGCTTCCTGCTGTGGTCTTCCAGTCATTACACAGGTTCCGTTTATGTGGTAGAAAAAAATCTGCCGTGTAGCAGATGGGTACTTTAGGTGGAAGTAAGAACTTCTCCAACAGTACTGCACTATCACAAAACTTCAGCTTTACCTGCACGCTGTCCTGTCTTTGACCACTTAGCCACGTGGCTAAACATGGCTTATGTGTGGGGATGCTGCAACGTAGTTGAAAAAAACACTTGAGACTATAGGCTGTTACAGTGTTCTTCCCGAATAATATAATTAAATGTTAACTAGCATTTAGGACTTAATACAGTGCAGGAACTGTCTTCTACAGGTGTTTGTGGAAGTGTATAACCTGACTGCAGATCCACACCAGATCAATAACATTGCTAAAACAATTGATCAAGAAATTCTAGAAAAGATGAACTATCGATTAATGATGCTGCAGTCCTGTTCAGGAGCAACTTGCCGTACACCAGGTGTCTTCGATCCCGGGTAAACACTGCTTCAATTAATTATGATAATACTTTTAAATATAACTATATATTTTTAAAACTAAGCTTTTATAGAGGGTATTTATGGTGGAATATAATATTACTGACATACATGCTGTTCTTTAATAGACATGCTTTCTTGATGCTTCTATTTTTTAATGTTTAATCTCTATTTTAACTTAACCTACGAAATATAACTTGACGGTATTAATACTACTACTTTAATCTTGTCAGCCATTGTTAACTTGGAATAGCTGAAGCTTACAGCTGTGCTGAGTAGTCAGAGACAAGGGACCTCAGGTTTGCCTGCAAACAAGGAAAAGCTCTGCAGGTTTCTGTAGGCAAACACTTGCTATGATTGTTCCTGGAGATGCTGTTGGCAAAGAATGTTTCCTGCAGGACCTAAGCTGTATGTATTAGTCAGCTGATGTGAGTAAATAGCTGGATGAAATTGTTTGGATGAAAGCTTTTTTTAAGCACTACTTACGTAGCTCAACTTTAAGGACATTTTAAGTTTGTAATTTGAGGCAGCAAAGCTTTCTGTCAGAATGCAACTCCTGAATGCTTAATGTTACACCTGCCAATATGCTGTTGGGTTGTTGCAGCTAGTAGTTATTTCTTTGGAGACCGTCAGCTCCTTAGTTGCGCATCGTTACAATTCATCTGCTGTAATATGTAGAGAGAGTGTCCCTACTGCATACTGTCAAGAAAGCAGTACATGTAGCCCTGTGCCAGAGCTATTATAGAAACAAGCTATTTCTAGAAGCGTTGTCACTGTGGGCTAACCGTAGCTCACGCAGACTCTGTTCCTTTCTATAGGTACAGGTTTGACCCACGGCTCATGTTCAGCAATCACGGTGTTCGGGCTCGGAGGTTTTCTGCACAGTCCTTATAAGGCATTGAAGAGCCTCTTGCAATCAGCTCCCACTGACGAGTTTCTCCAGTGACTGCAGCAGGTCTGTCTCGGTAACTCTCGCTGATCGCAGCTGGAAGACTTTCAATGGGCTACTCCAACCTTGTTGGGAAGAAAAACCCTTGTCTTTAGCTGGTTGCCTTGTGCAATATGTATATTTTACAGCTGAACTGTAGCTCTAAATCGTTAGACACAGCGAATCTGTCTTGCTCAGATAGTTGATTACCACCTTTGTCTTTCAAGTACCTTTTCATATCACGGGCATAGAGGTGAACCTATGCCTATGAATCTGAACAGTTTATTTTGTTCGAAAAATCAATAAATACGTATTTGAGTCGGGTCAGATAGGCAGGCGCTATTGCACAGTAATGCTCACCCATATTCAGTGTCATAGACTTTCTTAAAAGCTATGTTCAATTACAGAGCTCAAAGCTGTTAATGACAATAGCAAACTAGCCCAAAATAGCGTAGGAAGGCATTAGTCAAAACTGTAGGATCTGACTAGCAAGTGTCTTGTGCAGAAGGAAAATCTGTATGCTAAATACTCTTTCAGTGAGACCACTTCAAATGAGACCAATGAATTTTGTCGGATGGCTTTGGTAGCTTGCAAACAGGAATGTAATTTCAACCTCCTTCTAGTTTGAAATGCTGGAATGGGTTACTGTGTACTACTGAAAAAACCCTTAGGGTTTAATATAGGCTTCCTAGTGAGTTAAACAAAAGTGTTGAGACTAACAAATATTCAATTAAGTGTGCCTGTGTTTTGAGCTAACTCTTAAGTCTGTTTTAATTCATGAACAGAAGTAATACTAAAAAAAAAAATCCACGAAAAACCACCAACCCAGGGCACCACAGTAGAGTTGATCTGTCTCTAACCTCCAACTGTCTTGAATTGTCTAACATCTTACGTTGATTAGATTCTTGAAGGTAAATTATTTTGAGAGCAAACTAGCCAAAAATAAATAAATCATTGCTCACTAGAAGTTAGGCTAAGAGGGCTATTTTAGGCAGTTTAAGTGCTTCATAGAGTGTTGCTTTTTGGTTGAGACATAACTACTCAGAATCTGCAGTAAGTGGCCTTCACACCAAAGGACTGGCGTCAGATGTCTGACTGCAGTACGTTATCACTTGGTTTCCCTTTGGAAGGGTGATACTGTCTTTTCAACCTTCTATGATTCGGCTTATCTGAAATGCAGCCATCGCTTGCGCCCAAACCCGAGTATCTTTCTAAATCTTGAAAAACACCCAAACTGGTGTTAGCGTGTAACTTCTGTATAGATTCACTGGCAAAACACCTTCCAGAAACACCACATTATATATCGTCTTTTGCAAGACAAGTTCATGTTGCTTGCAGGCAAATCAACTGTGTTATCAGGCAAGATAATCTTTCCCTTGTCAAACAAACTGTGGCACAACTATTTAGTTTTTAGTTAGTTATTTCAGATCTTCTACCCAAATAGAGAGCACGATGATTTCAACTTCTGTCACATAAAGCCTGCTACTAAATAATCATTAAGTAGGCATCAAAGTATGACTCTTTCAAAACTGTGAAGGTGCATACCCCGGTGCACAGATCCACAAACCAGACACAAGCAATGCTACAATAAGTTGAACTTTCTTTGCTCTTAATTCTGAAGCACAGAAGCTGTCCTTCCCGTAGCTTAGAGTTGCAAACTTCCGTGATGGTCTACAGGTTAGATTTGTAGAGCTTTTGTCTGAAATCTAACTCGTTGTTGCAAATCTCTGGAGTGACCAAATATTTGGAGGCAAAAAAATTGCTTGAAAGGTAACTTTTCAGCTGGAGCATCTGTATAAATGCAGAGGTTTTTGGATACTCAGACTACTTACACGCTTTCAAATACTCGGGACTTTTTTTTCCTCCACTACAACTGTAGCTTTATCCTGTTCTTTGTTTCTCAAGCCTTCGTATTGCCCATCAATATCCTTCAGACTCTGTTTTGTCTTTAAAAACAAAACCAAAGTTGTTTTCATGCTCTCAAGTGTTTTCTTGCACACTAAACCTGAAGTTCATTTATGTAGTGTTTCGCTCAGATAACTGTAGCAACTTAGACTTGTTCTTTGTTTAAACTTTATTTTCGTAGCTGTGTGGAGGCTAGAGTGAAATACATGGATTGCTGCACATTAAACCCTCAACAGTTCTATCAAATCTAGGTCATATGTCAATTTTCTACTTGAGTTAAATTTTGGTGCAAGTAGTGCATGTTGTGATGCTTCCTAATAGAAAAAAAAAAGTTATGGGTACAGATGTGTAACTTTAAGAAAAGTTAGTGTTAAAGTGATCTTAAGCCATAACAACGAAATTTTTAACAGTTTACTTTTTGCCTAATAACTATAATATGCAAGTTGACAGAACTGATATAGGTTATTCAGGTGTTTTACCCAAATTAACACTCTTGCTAACTACACACACGTATAAAGCATTTTGTCTGTAACTAGGCTCAATAACTTAACACACTCACCGTCAGAGAACCACACTATACCTGAAATCTGTCATAGGTAGTAAATGTTGTATTAAATTGAAATTGAGAATGAAATTAGTCGGTCCTTACTTAACCAAAAAGAGAATAGAGGTTCCGGAAACTCTGCTTCACTCCCACGTTTTGATAAAGACTTAAGAACTGTTCAGCAAAAGCACGTAGCTGTAGGAAGAACAGGAACCAACAGCTGCCTGCCTGCCTTTGCTTTGAGGAGTCTGTTGTCACTTGTCTGGTGTCTGTTTCCATGACGCAGTTAATTCTGAGTATTTTTACAGCCTTGAATGAACAGTGTTAATTCTTATCCTTGATGATTAAAAGAATACTATGAAGAAACTTTGATTCTTATCCAGATCTAATTCCCAACTAAGTGATTTTAAAACTAAATGGTCTTCCTGGATGTCCCGTTTCATATGCTATTTGACCATGGCTGTATCCGTACCTTTTTACTAAAGGCTAAATGAAAAGGCCTTACTGGTAGAGAGTTGGGTTTAGGTAAAATGTGATTTTTTTTTTTTTTTAAATCTTAATTATCAAAAGCAGAGCTGTGAATTTTAATGATCTGATCTGGTAAAGTAGATACTATACAGGGAGAAATACAGTTAATAACTTTATTACATCATCCTAAACCAAAAACCATTCAGTATCATCACATCAACATAAGTGAATGCAGCTCATACATGCTTACCCAGCAGAGCCCCAGTAAAGTGGGCGGCTTCATTCTGAGGAATAAAGCTGTAGCAGGGACACATAAATGCAAACACACCCCCAAAGCAGGTATGATACCTTTTCAATCAAGTTCAATTTAAGACTGATTCTACAAGCTAAATAATACAATATTTTGTCATAATGAAACAGCTGTCACTTCTTGTGATTCAATTAAAATGAATTTTGTTTGTACTACTCTCTCTGTATGTGAGCATACTTAACTTCTGCTGTTTTGAACGTTTGTTTAGAAAGTGCCCTTCCAGAGAACCCTGTTCACTGCTGCACTTTTGGGAAAGAAAAAAAAAAATAAACTGCCTATCAAACTTCCTATCTTTCTGTTACTGAACTTCAGTTAAAGGATCAAGCTGTGTCACATTTCTAAAGATTGCATTCCTACTTTATAAGCCTGTTCTCTGCTTACTGCCCTGCTGCCTAACAATGGCCACTAGTGAGCTTTTCTGTGGTCACAGGGAACCTTATGTACGGCATCTAGCAAGGCAACGTGTGACTACTTTGCCCCAGGAAGAAACACTGAGGTGAGAGAACAAATTTAAATGCAAGCGGTACTTGCTCATATTTCCTTGGAAACCGATGTAGTTGAATAGATGGAAAACTTTTAACAAAAGAGCCAATGGAGGAACTGCTGTTCATAATTAAAAGCAGTATGTTCTGCCTCTGGGAAAGAGGAAGAATAAAATCCTACATCAGGCTTTTTCCAAAGTGGGAACTGTGAGCAACAGTAAGATGTGCTACTCGCTCACCTCAATCCCTGTTAACTCTGTAACAGAATTCCTTGGATGATTCTGTGCAACTGTTTAAAAATATATACATAACTATTTTCTGAACTATAGAGCAAGGTGATTTGATACCTGTAACCCATTTAGGTCTGAGGCTTTCACAAGCTTCTAAACCAAGTATTTCTGCTTAACCATGTGGTATCAGTTTCATTTCTCCTTCAGTGACATAGCAGTCTTCCATTAAGTAGAGAAAAATATTTAACAGCTGCTTGAAACAACGCTGCTATTTTTCTTTTGCTGCTCCAGCTTATGAAAACTGTAAGGTTTACTGTAGCACCACAAGAAAAGGCAGCTCTGTATTACCTAGATACACCTTCCCATTGTGCTCAAAGACATCACTCACAGCCCAAGTGATGCTACCATCAGGATCATGGAAGCTCGCCACAATATCTCCTTTGTCGTTAATTTCTAAGAACAAGCCATGTTTGTGAAGAAAAATGCTGTAGAATGATAAAGGAGTCACCTGGTTTAGAAAAAGAAATACACAGTGTTAACGGGGGACACGACGCCAGGACTTGTATGACTAGAAAGAAAGGGCAGTGCTAATATATTGCTTTCCAGACATTGCTCTAGTTGGATTCAGCTGTCACTTAATCTTTTGATAATACCCACTGGACTGTGTCTAAAGCTGACAGTCCAGTAATCGCTCACTAATCTTAATGTACAGTCAGTGCCTGCTTGCTCAAGAAGGTGTGGACGTTGTTTGAACTTATTCCAGCTGCCAAAAGCCACCCATTTTCTAAAAACAGGAATAAGAGGAACTTGATGGAACACGACTGAATCACCCGCTTCAGTGTTTTTCCTGCGCAAGTCCCAGGGAAAAGGCAGCATGGTTCCTAGAAAAAGTAACATGGTTAATCATAACTAGCTCCCTGACTCTTGCTTGATAAGAATGACTTTGCAGAGTTTGATTCCTATAGCAAAATCCTCGTATGTTGTGTAAAGGGTTCTTCACCTGCCTTGACACTATCACGTGGCTATAAACAACGGGCTGAGAGCTTGCAACTATGGGCTACTTTTGTCAGTATTGATTTTTCTACTTTATAAATGGGTTCTCGGTATTACCACGTCAGTACAACTGCTGTGTTTTAATATGTAAAAAAGAAACCAATCCTTAAATGTTCCAGAAAAATCAAAGTTAGTATGTGTTGGGATGCTGGCTGGTAAAGATGAAGCAGTTGTCTCTTGCATTTCCTAATGAAGAATAATAAGTCCTTTCATACTTAAAAAATTAACATTTTTGTGATACCGATAGTTAATACTACACAGTGTCAAAGTTACCTTTGCAATAAATCTCTTCAGGAATGGATATGGTCCTAAAGCATCCAGAAAAGGAGAAAAGAAACTAGGAAAGCGAGTGGTAGATATTCCAACTCTGTATAAGCCTGTGTTTGATAATCTGATGTTGTCTGGATACCCAGGCAGGTTGTCCACAAAAACTTCTTTTTTTCCTGCATTAGCTCCACTCACCCAATAGCTGCAAAAAGAGAATTTTGTATATGAGTTATAGCGGCTGCTGCAAAATACAGCAAGCCTAACAGCATAGAAGATCCATCATTTTTTTGATCCATGCAAGGAATTTTTCAAAATACATAAAAGGACGCTGCAGGAAGTAGTAAATGCAAAGAGGGACTGAACTTGAGTAACAATGATTGGTCGGTCAAAAACCTCATCTTCCTACATGTAACATAAACAGTAACCCCCCCCCCATTCTATTAAAAAAATGGATTCATACAAAATATGCCTGTTAAATGAAAACTAATATTAAATTTGGCTTTAGAACTTCCATGAAGTAAAAAACTGTTAAAACACTGACCCCCTTTAAAATGGGAAAAATGGGGTGTTATGCTAATCATCATAATCATGTAGTGACACTTGTCCTCTGAGGTCTGTTGTAACTGTGATAACGGAGTCATCGGGGTAATTGTAATTGAGTCTGAGGGAATTAGGGCCCAATAAATCAGTAAGCAGGTATAAAAAAAACATTTGGCAGCGGAAAGGGCAACTGTTAATCTCTACCTAGAATTAATTAAAACCTGTGATTCTTGCAATAGAAAAAAGTAATTTAGACTAAGTTTATGATAGCAACCCCATTAACTGCGCATCTTCAGTTTACATTTTTAGAAAAGGAAAACCAGAAAAATAAGAACATGAAAATCACATCTACAAATTGATTAAAAACATGTAATAGAAACTAACATAATATTTTATATTTAAGAGGAGAATCATGTTTAACATACCGTATGATTCTACATATGCTGGTTTCTGCTATTAATATGTAATCTTCATCGGGAGACAGTGCAATCCCATTTGCCATGTACAAGCCACTGAGCACCGTTCTTCCTGTTCGTGTTACAGGGTCATAGGCCAAGAGGCGACCAAGATGGTTTGTTTCGATTACCTTAATCAATACATCTAATGAAAAACTAGGCTATCAAAATACCTGGTTTCAATTAGAACAGAAAATATTCAGAAGTTGTATTAATGTAAATTACATAAAAGCAGACTTTACAGAATGGCAGATGGTATCTTTATAAAAACAACAAGCTCGCACCACTAACGGAGCAAAGGATTTTGTTCGTGTTTTACAGCAGTCGTTTCCCAGGCTGATCACAGCATTCTTGCAGAAACAGAGGAATGTGGAGGTTATAAAGCCCAGAGTTCAAAATATGTTTTTCTGCAGTTCCTGCTTTAGCAAAACATCGAGGCCTGTCGCGCTTCTGTGAACAACTACAACCTCTTCAAATCAAACCGGAAAGCGCTCACGAGTGTTTTGCTAAAGCAAGTAAATAGCTGACATTTTACTTCTGATATGAAATAATTTGAATAAGTTTCTTCTGCTAAAAATCTGCAGGGCAGCTTTGAATTTTATAAATATAAGCCCTGTGAAGAGGAAACTGCCTTTGCGTTTGTCATTAGTACTGGCAAACCCTTGTCAAGTCTGAAATACTAAACAGCAAAGATGATATACTACCAAACAATAATTCTGATAGCTTTAAGAAACAGCAAGCGACACATAAGAGATTTCAACTATTTTTTTTTTTTTCCCCTTTAATAACTTGGATCTGGATTCCCTCCCCTTAAATTAAATGTATTTCCCTTCATGTGATTTTTCTTCTTGCTTAATTTTATCCACAATTCTGGTAGTAAAGACGAGACGCAGCGTGAACTTTGTGCCTGTGACCTCGCTGAATTTCAGTTTTACAAACAGACAGTTTGTTCTAGATAAAGTTTTACTCAAAGGCTGTGACTACACAGAAAAGATACCTTCCATTACACCAGCAATTTGCTACCTTGCGTTTACTGCAGTATAAGAGCATGCCTGTAGACAAATACTGGAGAGAAACTAACACTACAGTCTGGATTTTTACAGCATGTATCACATGACAGTTTCTTTGGGTAGTCGTACTGGGAGGGGTTTTGTTTTTTTAGAAGAGCAGCTACAGAACAGCGCAGCCCATCCTCTGCCTCAGGGCTTGAACATGCTGCATTCGTAGCATGCTTGGCTAAAACACACAAGCACGAGCGAAAAAGCTTGTCTCTTCTGCAGCCTGGTACACAGTGCTGCCAGCACAAAAACTAACATTTAAGCTGCCTGAACAAATGGCCACAAATTACCTCATCTCACCTCGTATTTGTGATGTCGTCTTTCCCATTTGCTACTTGAATCCGTAAAATAAATCAAATTTTTCTTTGATATTTCTAATCCATTTAGAAATTTGAAAGGAAGTCCATCCAAACCTACTTAATAAAAATGACTACTAATTAAAATAAGTACAAAACCACCAAGTGTTCAAAATGATTCAGATCCACACAAGCTTAAAATTTCAGACATTTCAATTCCAAATGTCATAGTTAATGCCATCCTTAAGTTGTCCCAAGCTAAAGTCCAACTCCAAGTTACTTTCATTTGCAGGGAAAAACGTTCAGGTTGCAGCCCAGCGTAACACATGCCAAACCAAAAGCCTCTGACAAACATCGTTGCTTTTGTTTTCTTCTGTTTTTCAAACAAATCTTAAAAATATAAAGCCAATGGGCTTTCAATCAGTCCCAGCCCCATGCTTACTAGTAGTGATCTCAACTGGTTTAAGTGCCTTGATCTTCCAGTTTATATATAAGCACGAGGACCAAACCCAAGCTCAGTCTACTTCCCCACTAACTGTAGTATCACCTTTTTCACTCGATAGCAGGAGGGTTTTCTCTCCCGTCCTTGGATTGACTTTGTACAGGCCTAAATAAGAATCCACCACAACCAAGTTACCATCCTGATCCATTCGGACACCATGGGGCCGGCCACATATTGGTTCATAGTCTGGAGTTCCTGAGATACAAATCGGAAGAAGTGTAAGACCAGGAGGTGGACAAAATGAAGATCCCAAAATGCAAAGGCTGAAAAGCGCTAGACTATCATCCTTGAATAAACAAGATCTTTAAAAGCTTCCTTCAACTCTCTCTAAAAGTAACTTGTAACATGCAAAGGCAGTGACAGTATAATGTCAATCTAGGCATCTCTGTTCGTTGTTACTTAAGAAAAAAATTGCTCCCAACCCACAGAGAAATTCAGCTCTACTCTGTTTTCGCAGACAACTTTAAAGATGGCTGAAGAACTGGTAGGATTACAAAATCAGTAAAGCAAAATGGATCAGCTGCTGTTTAATTTATAGCCCCCAAGTAAAAGATGGGAGGAAAAATGGCTTTTAGGAAGGATTTAACTAACTACTTCCCTTCAGCTGAGGGCCCTAAGTTCCACAGGTCACATGAGAATCCTACAAGTAATCCTCAGGTAAAACTACAACAAACAGATCTACCACAGATCTACCAGTATTTTTATAGTGAATAATTTTCCTGAGAGCACTGACATTAGTAAAGCTTGACACCTTACAGTTTTGTGACCTAATGCCTTCGACTCCGAAATACATATTTTCCCCCACTACTCCAGTAAGCAAGGGACAACATGCATTACAGCTCACTAGAGCTGTAACACATCAGTAACGCAAGCTGACTGACTGACAGCTGCCAAAAAGTTAATGGCTGAGTTCTGGTCTCACTCTGAATGAAACAATCAATTTGGTCTCATTTTTGGTTTCTTAACTTCCACATAGTCAATTATTTACATAAGACAAAAAAGTTCAGTAATCTTTGAGAATTCTTTCAAATTCAGTTGAGACCAGCCCACAGCACAGGGACTTTGGGGATCAGGAAAGCACCTACAAAACTCACATTTTTAGGAAACCAGGCTAAAGCCAATCGGGAATTTTAATGGCCTTTCAGGCCTGCTTGATTCATCAAAAAGCAACAGGATAAAAACATGAACATTTCAGTGTTTGTCTTTCTCCTTTATAAGTAAGGAAAGAAAATGCAACCTTGCAGTCCAGTTACTGGTGGTGGTACCAGGACACACTACTCTAAGTCTCTGATTCCTTTGTAAGATTTGAAATGTTTCTAAAATAAATTTTGACCTCGAGGCAGGAAAATAACTGGATAAATTGTGTCTTTAGACCACCCTCAAAAAGCTTTATATAGAAGGACTTACATAAAATGTTGTTCTTTATTTAAATGGCAATCCATGGCTAGAGAAGTGTGCCATTATGACTTAATCCTGTCTACATTAGGAAAAACTACATGATAGCAGACTATATGAAAAACTACAAGAATCAGAAAATGTTAACAATAGCTAAAATAGCACTTCAATTTCTCATTCAGTGACTTTTATATGAACAAGTTTGTTGTCATTTTCACATCAAAACCATCGCTCACCACATTCAGGCATATCCTGCCCCATTTGAGTAATGAAATGCAGCTGGTCACCGCTGATCATCCACAGTTTCCCATCCACAGTACCAGTGTAGATATTACCTTAAAATAAGTATATTTGAAGACCACTTTAAAAGGGACCAAGGCAAATAAAACTTACTCTAAAAAAAGGAGATTCCTCATTATTGTGAGCCCTTCCTTCTTGCTCCGAATTTATATATTCTGTGCACACACAAAGCAACGAAACGGACAGGAAACCTTACAGCTTACTTTAAATATATTTTCATAAAGCAGAAAGAGCCATAATAAATTGGAGATTAGAAAAAATATGAATTGTTCATATGTTTATTTTAAATAAACATAGTAAATTGAAAGCCATCTTAAGACTCCTCTGGGTTAGCAGCAAAGGCAGGCATCAAGGACAGGACTAAAGATTCATAGTGATATCCTCATACTGTCAGTGAGAATCAGTGAAAGCATTAGCAGAGCTCACACGATCCACCTTCTTGTCCTGAGGCTTCTGCCACGTTACCAGTTAGCTAAAATGTTCAGCAGACGAAAGGAAAACATTACAATGACTGATCCAAAACGTGAAAGTAACCCTTCTCCTAGGACATTAAAATCCTAAGCAAAAAAAACAAGTGTGGGTTTTGGGGGTTTTTTAAGCAGTGATGTTTTCCTTTGGTTTTGAACCACCAGAATAATACCAAAAATGTGTAAGTTTGCATTGAAGGACTTAAGCACTTTTTTTATCGGATACCTGCTTAGCAGTTGCTTTCTCCTGTGCCTTTAAAGTGTTTAGATTAACAAGGCAGAAAGCTCACAGGAAGTCTTCAAATCTTTTGACGCTGTATCGTAACTCCACGAACTTCTGTGTAGAGTATCAAAGGAAAAACACTAGCAGTGATTAAGCTCCACCTTTGAAAAATAGCATCCTCCTACCTTTTGACTAGTCCAGGCTCTGAAATAGTACAATGCACATGACCAGTCCTATAAAATACACTTCTAGTGTGAAGTCTGTTACCTGGGAACATTCCTCTGATTTGTCTTTTATTTACATAGATTGAACTAAAGTAGACATTATTCTCTTTACACTCTTTGCATTTTCACCCTAGCCTTGTTTACATTTAAAAATGTGCACTGCCACTTGGTAACAGGTGTTAAAAGATACTCCATAAAAGTTATGCTACCTTTCTGTGCCAACATTACTGAAAAACACAGATTCTGACTTGGTGTAATGAGCATTTACACCAGAGCAGAGAAACAGATATAAAAATGTCTAGCATCTGCTCACTCACATCTATGGAAAAATGTTATGAGCAAATAGGACAGATTCTCAAAGTATCAGCTGTCAGATCTAGATTAAAAGAATTGTCTAGGATTACTGGCATACAGAAGGCACCTGTTTATCCGAAGGGAGAACTTCAGAGCCACTGTTCAATACAACAACTTTGCCTGGGAAAAAACAGAGGCTGAATTTTGCTGTCATAAAATATACTGGCATTCTAATGCCTCTCGAGGCATGTTGGAAACAGCTGAAATTTCTGATCACATACCAGATTCTGTATTTAAAGAGAGAAATCTTAGGCTTGTAATGCTATTTTCTATCATGCTATGCACTAGGCTATGATGCTATATTTAGATTTATGTAGCTAGTGCAAGTGGGTTTTGCACTAGACTTCTCTCATGGGTATTTGTAGTGAAGTGAAGGCAAAACAGAACTACTCTAGTTACCCATAATATCCTGTCTTATTCATATGGAAAACAGCATTTACCTAAATCAGGCAACATCACCACAACACTTACTACAACCTTGGTCATATTGTATGATTTCAACTGACTGAACCCAGTCTCCTAAAACATCCTTAAATTCAGGGAAGATCCATGGTAGAATTAACACACTCAAGAAAAATAGAACCAAACCGGTATTTTATGCAGCCTCATGAAAAGAGGTTAGATTTGGCAACACAGAGCATTTGCAGGATTAGTCCTCAGATTTAAAATATACTCTGCAAAACTCCAGTTGTGAATGCTACCCTTTCTGAAAGTTGTAGAGGAAGAGGTGGAGAACAAAAAGTGCGATAAAAAGACAATTTAAAATAGCACCTTTGAGGAAAGCAGGAAGGAAACAGCTTTGAGAAGACATTGCAAGGAATGGGTGCCTCAGTGCAAGGTGTTGCGCTAGGTCCCTTCCAGGCCTATGCTGCTACGACTGAAAACGCTTCTAATTTCAGCTTGCACAATGGCAAACAAGACCATTCCAGACGATTACCTCTCACCTCTGTAGCACACAAGACGGTATCTTTCAGACAAACATGTCCTGGGCTATTCAATGTTTCCTTGAAAAATACCATAAAACTAGTACCAGCAGTAAGGGAGGGTGTCTGAACTGCCTAGCTCAAACTGCTCTGGACTGGGAGTTGCCTACTTCTCTGTACTGGCTACTGCAGGAATCTATTTTATCCACTTACACATCAAGAGGAAAATAATTCCTCCAAACCAGGTAAGTCCTGAGTCCACAGCACTAAACCTGTGTCCCAAACAGAAGATCACAGTGTCTGTCCTCTATTTGGCTTGAACTTTCATTGCAGTCCCTACTTTGTTCACGCTCCGGGTAAGAGCTGTTGGAAAGATGCAAAACATCCTACTTGTTACCGCTTCAGCTCTCTGCTTCCCACTATCTGTAAGGTTCCTTCACCTACCGTTTTGCCACCTCACAGCTGCCAGACAACCGAGATGAATTATGTGATAGGTAAGAGGAGGTTTTATGCTACAGTGAAAAGTTCTTCTATATTCCAAGCTGCTCTAAAAATGTTTTTGATAACTATGCAAATCTTAAAACAACTTCATTTGCCTCCCTCTTTGGTTCCGTGTTCAACAACGGCTTTTGAAATAAGAGCACGTTGAACGCAGTGACTGAGCTCAAGCAGCAAATTAACACTGCTTTTGGAGACCTGAAACAAAAAAAACAGGGCAAGCTTATCACTAGGTCTGTCTCAAAAGCCCAAGCTTAGACTCACATTTGGAACAATTCTCACAAAAAGTTTTAGCTGTTTTTGCATGCTACTTTTGAAGAATATGCCATTTTACACCTTTTTAAAATTATATTTTAATACAACTTCTATATATTGCCAAGTTGTGGTTCTGTGTTTTTTTAATATAGCAGTAGAACATTTGCTGTGTCCTTGGAAGCAGCAGGCAACAAAATGTTCTGGATTATTTCCAGTGAAATGTTTACAAATGTGAAGATATGGAAGAACATACAGTTATCTTAATATTTTTTGAGCAATCATTGAGCAAACATTCCTATTTTTCTTTCTTTGGATTTAAAGTTCTTAAGTCTCCTCTTTTAATAACTTGACTAAGCAGATGTATCAGATGTATAACATGTAGCAGATGTATAACTTTACCCATTTGGAAGTTATCTACTTGCCTTCATCATCAACAGTAAAAGACTCGGGGCCTTTCAGTTGTCCTGTGAAGATTCTTTGTCCACTCTGAAGCTTTTTATTCACTTGCAGTGACCCAACTAAGGCAGGAGGTGGCTTTTCAAAACTGCACCAGATGTATTATAAATGAGGTGTAAGAAACAAGGCAACATTAGACTATAAAATTATTTGAAGGGAAAGTAATAAGACTTTATTCCAGAGATACTAATAACAAGGTATTCTCTTATTTTAAAGAATTTGTTAAAACTATTACTTCAAACTAAATTAACAATTCTGTGGAGATTGCAGGCCCAGGCTAAAAGGAATACAGACTTTTTAGAAGATTTTTTTTTTATGAAATCAATACAAACACAAAATTGCCATCATCCTAGAAAGTGTTATTCCCTATCATTAGTCTGAGATCTACTAACAATGCCTCTACATGTATGTATGAATACCGCACTGATCAGCATTGTTTTGCTTGAAATTCACTTGTTTAAAAAACTGTTTCTATTTTCGAGTTTTATATGAGAAACACAGTTTCTCCTGCATGTGAACTTAAGTAGCATGCTTTACATGCTCCTGCAGGATGAAAAGTATAGGAGAAGTTTGGAATATTTCCCAACAAACACAAGTATGCTACTGAACTTCAAAATTAAGTAGGGGAACATACGTGAACGGTTCTGGATCAATGGGTGATGGTAAAAAGTAAATGCTAGCAAAAGTCACAAGGACTGCAGCTGGAAACCCCCATGCTGGGAACCTGGGAGGAAAAAAAAACAGTTGTATACTCATGGACACACAGGAGGAGGGCAGGAGGGGAGTAAGAAGAATCAATTTTTTTTTCAAAAGTTAAAAAATTTCAGTGCTAAAAATTAAGACTGAAGGAGGACAAAGCAGACTGCAACAACCTGACGATCCCTGCCATGGAGAGGAGCAGCCCGGCTGCTCCACGGGCAGTACTGCCGTCCTGCTCTGTCTCCACACCGCACCGGGGCTCCTCCGGTCTCTGGATGGGTGATCCAGCCCCTGAAGCAGCCGAAAACCACAAGGTTTCTTTTGCTGGGTTGTATTTCTAGTAGTACGTAATTGCTGTAGGCAGAAACACAAGCTCAGTTACTTGCGTGGCAAGCAACTTTGCTGACTCCGGTATCTTTAAGGCCTTTTACCAACCTTACCCCAGCTGAGTATTGAAGTATTTGCTACTAATGGGTTTTACCAAATGCATACATAGTCTTAAGGTGGTTGTTGCACATATGAAGCTATAGGGTCTCACATGAATCAGCCTTCAAGGAACTGGTCAAACCATTATCATCTTCTCTGCTGCAGGGCCGCAGTGCCCAAGGAAGAGCAAGAGAGACCAAAGCGAACAGCAAAGTAGCTCCATTCTACCAATTCAATTAGGGAGGATTAAACTGTTTTTAACAAACCCGCAATAATCAACCAGAAAATTAAACATACATGTTTTTGGAGAAAACCACTAAAAAACCTTTAAAGGCCATGAGATAAAAAGGGGTGAAAGGCATTTTCTGAGGAGGGAGGACCTGGGTATTGCCTCCAGTCCAGGACACTTCCTCACCTCGTTTCTGCAACAATTTTTTTTATAGCAAGAAACCACTCGTCCGTGAGCTTTCCCACCCAACTAAGGCGGGACAGCACCCACTGCAAGCCTGTGGCTCCGCTCCCTCCGTGGCAGAGGCGCCTCTGTGACAGAGGAGAGCCCCGCTCCGGCCCTGCCCGCCGTCTTCGTCAGGTAAAACATGGCGGGCCCGCAGCCCTCGGCTGTCTCCGCTTCCCCTACCGCTGCCCGCCCGGGGAAGACCTCTCCTCACGCACCGCCACTGGCCCTCAGGGGGACGAGACGACGCCACCGCCCTCCTCCCTCCCAC